GTGAAAGTGGTATTTTCCAGTTCTCTGTTGCAGATGGAATGTATTCACTTTTACTACTCAACATTATGTTAGCTGGAAGCCTTTTTCATTTCAAAATGAGAATATTTATATTTTTACATTATTAGGAACTTTAGTTACACATAGGCATTGAATTTGTCAACTGTTCATCCTGTGTACACTTACATGTTGCTTTTTTCTCCTATTTGATTTTTTTCATCTGGTAAATTTTATGCTTTGGTTTTTCACTATGAAATGGGACTTGAACTTCTAGGATAAATATCTGGTATGATGTGTGTTATCAATACTACTTATAAATTATTGGAGTTGATTTGATAATTCATGTGAAGGACTTTCATGACCATATTTCTGAGGGATATTGTTCTGTAGACTTTGTTTGTTTTTGGTAGTGTGTAATCAAACATTATTTTGGGTATTTTCTGTGTGAGCATGAGGGAAGTCATTGTCTTAGTCCTGCTGTTCTAAAATTATTTGACAATTTGATCCCTTAACCTTAAGAATTTTGATCAAGAAGGACAAGATTAACTATATAATCCTATAAGAAGTAAATCAAGCTACTTAGATTCACAAGACTAACTGATAAAGTACACATGTGAAAAATTTTATTGCAGTCAATGCCTGCTTTGTCCCAAATCCATTATATCTCTATCTTTTCCTCTATGGAATCAGCAAATTGATTTATTCTCTACTATTTGAGCTCTTTCTCCACTTTTAAAACAAATATACTTGTATTCATATATACCCTTGAAAACTGAATAAAGTGCCTTGGTGTGCAAATTGAAGGTTTAGTTTTAGAATGAAAGGATCTAAGTTCTTACATACTTTGAGGAATTTACCTACTAATCTATGTTGTATGTGAAAGAAAATTCTGAAGGACTTAAACTATTTCCAGTGTACTTTGTTATTTACTAATCAAAGAAAAACAGCACAATTATTATGAAAATAGATCTAATACAGTTTTATAGTTGCAGCAACAAAAACTAAAGTAGCCGGGTGCTGGTGACTCACACCTGTAACCCTAGCTACTCAGGAAGCTGAGATTTGAGGACTGCGGTTCAAAGCCAGATTGGGCAGGAAAATCTGTGAGACTCTTATCTCCAATTAGCCACCAGAAAACCAGAAGTGGTGCTGTGGCTCAAATAGTAGAGCACTTGCCTTGAGCTGAACAGCTGAGGGACAGTGCCCAGGCCCAGAGTTCAAGTCTCGCAACCCCCCAAAAATAAATAAAAATAAGTTATTTTATTTCTCATTATTTTTCAAAAATATACAAAAGAATAGGATTTCTATCAGATGATTCTAGCTTGAGTGATTTTCCCTTTGCATTCTGGGAAGACTGAAGAACTGGGACTCCGACCACCAGCCATGTAGGCAATCCATGGGACCAGCTGGCAATGTTCTCACATTGTTAAACTTGACCCATCTCTTTGTATTTGTCACTGCAGAGTCCGTAGCCTCCTTCGCAAAACACCCTTAGCACATGCTATAATTTCTGTGATTTCAAGTTGCCTTGCATTCATTACAGTTTAACTTAGTAACACTCATTCCAGAAGCTCATTAATTATACCTCTCTGAGCACTGACACAGGAGGTGCTCAAAGCAGCTTTGGGAAAGCAGGGCGTGTATCAAAGGGCAAGTTATTAGTTGTTAGTTGGGGAAAGAGTTGGCCATTCCTCCCAGGAAATAAGTACTAGGGGAAGACATTTGGCCTGTGCATCCTTGCAGGAGCCTTCTGCTGGGGCCCCTGGGGCCTCCCTCTCCTCTGGTGGTCTGTTTGACACAGTGGAGAACCTTCTTACACTATAGTCAGGTTTGTCACTCTTGTTTCCCATTAAGTAAAATAACCGAGTAAGCACAGGCAGTTTATAGTCTGGTGTCTTCTTCCCATCATCCAATCTCTTCTTGCTGAATTCCAACCACAGTGACCTCTGACCCTCATGCTAAAACTCCAGCAAGGGCAAACCTGAGAGCCTTTGCCTTAGTGATCTCTTTGCCTCCTACCTCTTCTCTGTATTTACTTGGCCAACTCCTGAGCTGTCTTGGGGTTCAGGACTTTCCATCTATCTTTCTTCGTGGTTCTATTCACTCAAAAACTTACCTGCTCAAAAATGTTGGTGAAATGAATGTAACACTTGGAATCTTCAATTAGTAGTAATTCCATCACTATACCTTGGGATAAAGTTTGGAGTTGAGATTGAACTCTTCAGGATGCATTCAAAACTGTTCTATTTAAACCTCAGTGAAATTGGTAAGTGTGGTTATGATTTATCTCATTCCTATAGATGTCTATGTATTGAAAAGTCCTAACTACTAAATGCTGTTCGTGTCTTGATACTATTAACATAATGGGCTAAGTCATTCTTTGTGAGAAGGGCTGGACTTTACATGGTGGGATGTCTAGAAATATCTGGCTTCTATACCGTAAATGGCACTTACAGAACATTAACCTTTCAAGTTGTGACAAAAAAGTAGTATCTCAAAAAAAATACCTCTAAGTATCTCCTAAAGTACAAAATTGCATGCAGTTGGTAACCAGTCATTACATAATTTTCATATAAAATAAAACTCTGATCTAACATATTAAGTGCAAATCATGAGAATCTCATGCTTACTTTATGACAAGTGAGTATCACGGTGAATCCAGCATTTGAGTAGATGAGAAGGAAGATGTTGAAGGAAAAGAGACACTACAGCCCTTTACTACTAGTCTTGGCCCTCCATCTCTATGGAGAAGATAGGAAATACTGAGATATCTTTCAGTGAAAAGGGTGAAATAATAGTAATACTAAATGTCAATGATGGTGAAATCAGATTTAAACAAAGACTGCCTGCTTCAAGGGGACAATGGAAACACAAATGGAAAACACATCATCTGAAGGGACAGGAAGGAAGACAGCTCCCTTATTTATTTCATTGGAGGGTGGTGTGTGTATAGTTTGGTTGGGAGAGTAGACCAGAAGTGTCCAAGTGAATTTTTGATGCTTTTTGCTTTGAAAGTAAAAAGGGCTGAGCTGGGCCCCCGGTGGCTCACACCTGTAATCCGAGCTACTCAGGTGGCTGAGATCTGAGGATCACAGTTCAAAGCCAGCCGTGGCAGGAAAGGCTGTGAGACTCTTATCTCCAATAAACCACTAGAAAACTGGAAGTGGTGCTGTAGCTCAAGCGGTAAAGCGCCCGCCTTGAGCTGAAGAGCGCAGGGACAGGGCCCAAGCCTAGAGTTCAAGCCCCATGACCGACAAAAAAAAAAGGGGTGAAGGTTGATAGATTGAAGAGTGCCAGCAGCACCCCCCCTTTTTTCTTTTAAATCCCCAGCTGACTCTCCTGGGGATATTTGTCTAGGTAGTCTTCAGTCTAAGAGCCTGAAGTCCTTAAACACTATTTGCTGCAAAACCATGTCTCTGATTTTAGTATTTAGGAACCACCTTAAGAAATGTAAATTTTAAGAGTACTACAATGTGTAATACCTATATATCCAGTTGGATAGAAGAGATGTTATTTCAGAACTATGGGAAATGGAAGTGGATTTTATGATTGATTTGAGTTATATATACTTCAAAAATGTTTGTATAAGCCAGGAGCGGTGTAATCCTAGCTGCTCCAGACTCTAAAATCTGAGGATAGTGGTTCCAAGCCAGGGCAGGAAAGTCTATGAGACTCTTATCTCCAATTCATCACAGAAAAGGCCAAAAGTGGTGTTGTTTAAGTGGTAGAACACTACCCTTGAGCAAAAGACGCTTAGAGACAGTGTCAAGGCCCAGGACCTTCAAAAAAGAAAGAAAGAAAAGGTTGTATACAGTTGCACTATACTTCTCAATCATTTTCTATGTGAATTAAATCAAATTCCTGTCATAAATATTCATCTGTAAGCCACCCTAGATCTGTAACCTTAATCTTTCCTCCATTATATATATGAGATGCAAATTCCAAAATTCAGGGAAGTCTAGTCTCGGAGTTTTATAAACTTCAGAGCTTGAGCTGCTTTGATGATTCCCTAAATTCTTTGGCAAAAGCATTTCATTAAATAGGTCACTATAGGCACCTAAGAAGCCCAAAACAGTGTGTGTGGGGAGGAGGGGGCGGGGGGGGGGGGGGAAACTCCCTAAAGGAAAAATGGGCCCTAATTGGTAATTTTGAGCGATCTGGTCATTCTAGGTGGGAATCTACAAAAAGCACTTTTCAAGCTCTGTGACCGCAGGTGGGCCGGATTGAGAGCTGAAGCTGGGACTTGGGGGACCCCGTAGGGGACCTCGTAGGGAGGGCACTGGGGGCAGGGAGGAGAGTAACTCGATTTGCAGACGATGCTTTTTCATCCTGAAGATCACGTTTAAAAAAAAAAAAATGTGCGAAGCCCAAACCGTCACCTAAAAATAGCCATCAATTGTCCATGTACGATATCCTTACGCACGCTGCTAGCAAAGAATAGATCAGTGCATGGAGTTTTGGAAAACGAAATTGCGCGTTGGGGGTGGGCTGGGGGCGGGGGGCATTGGGAGGCCTGCTAAGAACAAAACAAATCTTCCATCTCCGGGGCTTCTTCTGGTTCAAACCCGTTTTCTTGCTCGGTGTGTGGAGAGAGACTGGCCTTGGAGTATCCTGATTTTTAACAAGCTTCCCAATCAGCAATCCCTCCCTCGCCCAGCCCCTCACTCTCTCTCTCCTCTCTCTCTCTCTCTCCCCCTCTCCCCCTCTCCCTCTCTCTCTCTCTCTCTGCCGGCTCTTCCCATCCCTCCCATTCTCCATTTCCCTTCCGTTCCCTCCCTGTCAGGGCGTAATCAAGTCAAAGGCAGGATCAGGTTCCCCGCCTTCCCGTCCCAAAATCCCGCCAAGGGAGCCCCCAGAGCACTGGGAAATCCAAACTGGGGAGAGGTGAGGGGAAGAAAGCAAGCAGTGACTCATCCATCCAGAAGAGGGGGGGAGAGAGAGCGGCCGGCGCCCAGGCAGGAGCAGCAGCCCGCCGCACCTGGACTCCGCCGCCAGACCTCACCCCTTGGCAGCCCGAGCGCCCCGAGAGGACCTCCGCAACTCCACGTAAGTGCCCGGGAGCGCGCGATCTCTCCAAGAGGGTCTCCAAGCGCGCGCCTCGCTCCCAGCCCCCGTCCCTTTTCTCTGGCTGCCTGCAGACCGTGGTGGCTGGAGTTGGAGAGAGGCTGCCTGGTGGTTGGTTTGGTTTTTTTTTTTTTTTTAAATCGCCTCCCCCCCCCCCCCTTGAAAGGGCAAAAATGACTTGTTCCAGAGGCACAAAGAGCACATTTTGGGGGGAGCCAGGTGAGGCTAGTTAGGGCGCGCTCGGATGCCCGGGAGGACAGAAGCTCTGGAAATGGGAAGCATGCATTTCCAGGGTTGGAGCTACCTGCTGGCGCACGCCCTGGAGCTGGCTTGTTGGTACTCTTAGGGAAATCTTGGAGCTTTGGTTAGAGGTGTCTGGCTGGTAGAGGGAAGAAAGCCAGCCAGGTAATTCCAGAACGCAGATCTTCTTTCCTTTCCCTGCCCTGCCTTGGCTTCCCTGATTGCCCTGGGGCTTCCCCCCTGAGCTGCCATTGCTAGGTGTGGTGGAGGATGCCAGGTTTCGGCCTTCTGCTGGAGCCTGCTGGGGCAATCTAGGAATGGTTCGGCCCCAGGAAGTTTCAGGTACACCTTGAATCCCATCTCTCCTAATTTTAATGACTGCCCCCAGCACGCTGGCACCTCAACATTTTTATTTCACTCATACAAACCTGGGTGTATTGCTTGCAATTTTGCCAGATAACTCAGAATTTGAGTTGATAGGTTTGCCAAGTTAACAAAATAGTCTCTTCATTTTGTGGAAAGGAATATATGCAACTCCTTACCCAATGCACAAAGCATAAAAGTTCTTTTCTCAACCCCTACTGCCCCCCTTGTAACACATCTACACACACACACACACACACACACACGCACACACGCACACACGCACACACGCACACACGCACACACACACACGCACACACACACACACACGCAGAGTTTAGGCACACTTTAGCTAACTCATTCCTCCTGTCTCCTACTTAACAGTTGCTTTGTATATTTAGGGATAGAGTGAAAACAGATGTGAAGGGGGTGAGTTAGGGAAGGAGGGAATGAACAATGAGAAGGAATATTAGAGTTCTTGTAAGATCTCTCCTTAGGATTGTTTTCACTCCAGCAGCTTAAGTGTGGGGTGTGTGTGTGTGTGTGTGTGTGTGTGTGTGTGTGTGTGTGTGTGTGTGTGTGTGTGTGTTGGCGGGAAGGGCATGGGAGTAGATCGAGGAACTACCAAGAAAAGCTTTTGAACTAATGAAATAATGGACTGATGTCACAATCTCGGGCCACTGTGTACTGGAGGAGATTGCAGAGCCCGTTCTAGCCCTTTGATCATCCACAGATGAATTGATTTGTAGGAATATTAAAAAAGGTAATGAGAGTGAAATTAAGGAGAAGTCGGACAACATAGAAAATGAAACTTGTATTTTCCATCTCCACTATGTTGTGTTTTAAGTAAATGAAGGCCAAATCACTGAAAACACTTATTATGTTCAATTCAAAGGAAATTAGAGGGCATATTGTCTGTTGTCCCCTCTGGGATGTGAATTATTCCTAACTGGCAGCAGTTGTACTTTCTCTTTTAAATTAGAGGATGAGATTTTTTTTTTAATACACTTTTTTTTTCTTAAAAACACTTTAATGCCATTCTTTTGTGGCTTGAAGAAACTTTTCAGGTTTCTGTTCTCTAACTGTATGTTAGGTCTTTAGAAGGTGATCTTTCTTCTACTGTACACATACCCTGTTCCCCACCCCCCCTAGTAAAAAAAATGCACCCCTTAAGCCATAAGTAGCATGTTGAGTTGTTGAGCCCTAGCTGTTGGCTGGACAATTAATTATGTTCTCAAAAGTAAAGTATCAAAAGTCATGAAGCCGCTGTTAATATATGACCTCTTAGTAACTTTTAAATGAGTTATTATGGAGAAGAATACAAATGAACTTAATTATATACAGCATCATGTTTATATGTATATATACACACACATATATATATATATATATATATATATATATATTAGCAATAGCATATATAATTTTCTGCTTTCCTGGGCCTGTTTTCCATGAAATTTGGGATACAAGCTTTTTGAAAGTTTTCACATAGCTTATATGGTCTGCATCGTTTGCAATGTATAGAAAGGCTGAGTTGTTGTTGTTTGTTTATTAACTGACATTCTTTTTTTCATTGTGGTCAAGCCAAGGGCCTGGTTTGAGTTTTCACAAAACCTAGTCATTTAAAATAATGTGAGAACTAAGACTCTCCAACAACTTGGGCATTTTGATTAGTTTTCACTTCCCTCTTCAGTGATATCCAGGCTTTCTCTCTTCAGTGACATTCTCACTTGATTTCTGATCCTCTTCTTAGTTGTGATATGGTGAGTTTTTTTTTTTTTCATTTCTCAGAAGTTTCTGAGGAAAGAGTTTCAGCTGGCTTGTTCTAAAAGGCTGTGACAAGTTAACAGTAGATGGAGGGCAGGAAGTCAATATTTAGAATATACAAGACAGTTCTCTGATGTTTGTTTTGTTTATGGCTGCCACAAGCTAAGAGTGTTGGTCTTGCTTTCTCTACAGAAGGTGAGGTCCACATTGAACACACATTGAACACACCCCGGGTGATGGGAGGGTGATCGTGCTACACAGCCCGGACTACTTGCCCACTTTCATGTCTGGTTTACTCTCAGCTGAACACAACCCCAAATTGCCTTTGTTCCAGGCTCTGCTGGTGATGACCTGGGACTCTCCATAATGCCTTCTCCTCTGACTGTTGGACTAATGAATAAGTTGAAGAGCTCATGTCTCTTGTTGGCATAAAACCATACCACAGCCTTGGGAATGTTTAGATGAGGACCTTGGGACCTTTTCTTTCTTTCTTTTTTTTTTTTATGAGCTGGGTCTGCTGTTTCCTTCCAGAGTCAATTGGCTTGAGTAGAATTTGGATCATGGCTTCCCTTTAGAAAGCTGCTTTTTATTCTTGGTTCATGGCTAGTTCGAGTTTCTCCCCACTAGGACATGTTTTTTCATGTACTTCAAGTCAGTCTTGTAAGTGGTAGTTTTCGTGATTGACATTGCAATCTATCTAGATTGAGAAATATAATGTGTTTGATAACAATTGAAGATTCTTCAGCTCAAAAGGGTAGCCATCATGAAATGCCACCCAGGGTCATTATAATTGTGGTATTATTAATAAATTTGGTTATGTTTATCGCACTCACCACCAATCTCTGAGTTAGTTGAGATATTTTAAGTAATAACATTTTATATTTCTCGGAGTTTGGAGTTATTCTCAGATGTTTGGAGTTATTTTGTCATCATTGGTTTAGGTAATGTACCATTTCAGGTTGAAAGAAGTTCATCATTGAGTTTGCTAAAAGCAGAACTCTTGCGTTTTTAAACTTCATGCATATAAACAAACTATAAGGAAAATCTATTGTTGTCTATTTGTCGTGCAAATAAAACGAGTCATAGAACCTGATACCTGGGCTCTTCTAAGAATTACTCTTTTTTTGAATCTTTTTATTTAGGTAGTTGTACAAAGGAGTTGCCATTCAACAAAGCAGTTGATGAATACAGTGTGTCTTGATCAATGTCCCTCTTGCAACATTCACCCATCTCTCCCCACTCACTCCTTCCCTCACTTTTAATTTTTTAGGATATGTATTGCTTTTTTGCCATTAAGAATTACTCTTAGTAAAGCCTAAAACTTCATTTTAAGACACAACTAGCATGCTGTGTCTCATTTTGTTCTCATTTCTTCCAACTTTTCTTCTTCCCCTTCCTTAATTTCTTTTTATTCCCCTCTTTTATTAACCCCAGTTGTTGTTATTTCCACCCAACAAGACCCACGATGCCCTGTCCACTCTGTTTGTGATGGCCTATGTGAGTCAGGAATGTCTGCTTATACCTTGGAATTCCTAGAAGGTTGGATGTTGCAGGTTGATATTTTTACAATTGTCTGACCTTGTCCACTCAACTCTATTGTCAGTGCCAGTGTTCTCTCTTCTTGCTCAACCAGATGGGTTTTGTTTTTTTGATTCAGAGCCTGTAAGTAGTCAGCTTACACATTCAACTGGTAATAAATATTGACTTTATTCTCCTTTCAGCTTCTCATCATCCGGGGAGGGGCACAGCTGGTTCTCAGTTCCATCACACCCAGGTCCCGCTGAGGCAATCATTTTTCTTGCTGCTATGTTAATCAGTTTAACAATTATCTAGGGGCTGGGAAGGTGGCTCAGTAGTAGAGCACTTGCCTTGAATGCCTGAGGCCCTGGGTTCAATTCCTCAGCACCACATAAGCAAAAAGAAAAAAGCCAGAAGTGGTGCTGTGGCTCAAGTGGTAGAGTGCTAGCCTTGAGCTGAAGAGCTGAGGGACAGCGCCCAGGCCCAGAGTTCAGGCCCCACGACCAAACCCCCCCCCCAAAAAATTAATAAAAAATAAAATAAAATAAAATTTGATTCATTTGCTTAAAAAATTATCCATATGTTAGGTGCCTAATGATGCTCTGCATCATTAGGAACAGAGTTAAGAAATATGGCCAGTTTCTTTTCTAGAAGTTCATGGTTTTACAACTTCAAACACTTTATGTTTGGTAAGTGAAACTAATGAAAGTTATGAAAGTGTAATTTATGGAACACTGCATTAGAAATTTGTTGCAAGGTATCAATCAATTGCCCCTACCCATCTCTGAAGAAAACGCTTTAGAAATCAGAAGTCATTTCATAAAACCAGTAGCTTTTGTACTTTTTCCTTTACTCACTGCATAAGAACACTATGTACTAATACTGCCTTTTGATGCTTATCTTTTTACGATTATCTTTACTGCTTTCCTGTGACTACCTGGATATGTTATTATCTGATTTTTTTTGTAACTTCTCTGTCTACTCTTCCTTTTATCGTCCTGCACCCGTCAATTTTTAAAGGGTACATTCATTTTTAAGTCTCTCTCTGTGTCATACACACACACACACAGACACACACACACTTACACATATAG